GGTATTTTCACGCAAATTCTTCTGCTAGTTGGGGTTTAGTCCAAATCCGCATCCTTTCCTTCAAGGCTCAGGGGTCCAAGATTATCTTCTGTGTCTGTGTTAATTGGTTTCCCTTTTCTTTGTTGAAGAGGGTCTGTGCAATCCTTCTGCCTAGTCCGCCATCTTGCCCTGCCTCCCCTGTCAATATACTTTTGTTACATGGTTTTTAAAATGGAACTAGGTAGGGTCATTTAAATTAACTTGAAAAATCTCTTTATATAGATTTTAAATGTAACAAAAAGAGAATTTGTGTGATAAAAAACAGCTAAAGGTTTAATGCTAATTAAAAATAAAATATGGAAGTAGTGCTGGAATGAGAAAATGGAAGTTGTCTTAAGAACTTTTCAAGAGAATTTACTTAGAAATAATCACCCTTCTGTGTCAATTGCTTGGGACTATATTACAAGTCAGATTTCTGGATTGTCTTGTTTTTTTTTTTCACAACCACACACAAAGTTCACTTCAGGACATTATGTTCAATAGAATAGTATTGTCCATGATAAAAGGGAACTGTGAATCCAGGTTTCTATACCTAGAGAAAATATTTTTCAGTAAAGAAGGTGAAACAAAGATATTCTAAGGCAAGCAAAGCCTGAGAACATTCCTTTATTTCTAGTTCTGAGTTGAACTTAAAACAAAAAACCCTAAAGAAAGTGATTCAGGCTGAGTAAAGATAATTCCAGAAAGAAGCCTGGAAATACAGGAAGAATTGAAGACCCATGAAAGTAACAAATATGAATGTAACAGTACCAATGTCTTTGGGAAGGCGCTCTGGTGGCACAATGCCTAAGGCATTTGACTGCTAACCACAAACCTGGTGGTTCAAACCTACCAGCCACTCTGTGGAAGACAGACTGGGCAATCTACTTCCATAAAGATTTACTGTTTTGGAAACCCAATGGGACTCGCTATGAGTCAGAACTGACTTGATGGCAGTTAAGTTTTTTTTTTTTAATTATTATTTTTAGAATGTAATTGCAGTGCAATAAACCCAGAAATCAGTAACAATACTGGTCAAAGAAGAAACTACATAGAAGAACAGAAAATATTTAGAAATGAATGTTAATGCAAATTCTACACATGAAAAGTTGTGAGGTGCAACTAAGTGATGCTTTAGAAATTTATAGCCTTAGTGAATATATTAGAAAAGTGAAAAGTATGTGCTAAGTATCTTCCTCAAGCAATTAAAAACAGAAATCACAAATTTCAAAAAATGCAGAAGGGAGAAATATAAATGTAAAGTAAGAGCAGGAATCAGTAAATAAAATATCCAACTGAGAGGATATAGAAAGACAAAAGTAGGTTCTTTGCAAATTATGCTCCCTCACCCCTTTTGAGTCTGGGGGGTGAGGGAGCATAATTAGTTAATGCCATGAATGATAAAGGGGACTACAGATTTTATAGGTATTAAAAATACAATATGGGTATTGTATAGACAACTTTATGTCAGAACTTTGAAAATGTAGATATAATGGACACAATCTTTTTTTCCCTTTTACAGTTTTTTTTTAATCATTGTGATTTGGGTGTGAAAGTTTACAGAGCAAATTCATTTTCCACTCATCATTTCATACACATTTGTTCATGATGTTGGTTTCAATTTCCATAACCTAACAGACCTCTGGTAGCATAGTGGCTAAAGCACTTGACTGCTAACGAGAAGGCTGGCGGTTCAAACCCACCAGCCACTCCTCGGAAGGAAGGTTGGGCAATCCTACTTCCGTAGTGATACTGCCTCAGAAATGCAAGGAGGGGTCGCTATGAGTCAGGGCTGACTCGACGGCACATAACAACAACAGCAGCTCTCTTAACACTTCTTCCCTGTGATTATTTTTCCGTGTCCTTGTTTCCTACATATTCCTGTCCTCTGAACTTTCTCCCTGTGCAAATGCTGCCCTTCTAATCTCTCATGACTGATTGTTCTAAAGAGTGTACTTACTTGGTGTAATTGTTCACCTTGTAGGCC